TAACAGCACCACGTTTTTGTACACACTAAATAGTCAAATTAAGACTCCAGTCGGAAATTAGATAAACCAAACTACACTTACGCTTATGAAGGGACCCTGCAAATAGGCATCATCTCCAACGGCAGTGTATGCATCCATCGTTTTGCCGTCCTTAGTGACTTTTGCGTGTCGAACATCCGGATATTGCGTGCTAGAGTGGTTGCCCCAAATAATTACATCCTTCACATCAGCAATCTGAAAAGTGGAACGAGAATACCATTCCTTACTCTATAAGCAACTAAGAGTTCTTGCTACTGATTGGAGCACTAATGTGATTAAGTATAAGAAAAAGGAAGGACGAATGAGAAAGTTTTACTTACACCAACACCACACTTCTGTGCGATTTGAGCAGTTGCCCTGTTATGGTCAAGGCGAGTCATAGCAGAGAAGTTACGTTCAGGAACTTTCGGAGCGGCATACTTAGCGCATATAAGTGCATTTGTGTTTGCTGGGTTGCCCACAACGATTACCTTGAGAAATCACATAATTAAAGTGAACCACAAAGTCGATGCGTGATAGGGAAACAAATAATGGAAGTCAATGGGAAGTTTACCAAATATTAAAACAACTATTATACTGAAATACAAACAACTGCGCTTTCTCTTCCTCGTTCTCATTATAATACTTTAAAGTTTTCTACAAAACTTCATACTTTTACTTAACAAGCGTCAAAGAAATTTACAATTTCCTGAACTAATAAGTAAAATTGTTTCCTAACCAAAATCATAAACAACTACAGCCGAAAATACTCGTCGTCTCTAAAAATTAAATAGTTATTGCATTAAGAAATTTTGATGCTCACTTTAGTCGTAGGTTTTGCAAAGTTTGCAAGCGCTTGACCTTGAGATTTGAAAATTTTCACGTTAGCGGCAAGCAAGTCTTTACGTTCCATGCCTTGTTTACGGGGCATGGCACCAACCAAGAAAGCGTAATCAATATCAGTAAAAGCACTTTTCTCGTCAGTGACAGCAATGACTTCTGAAAAAGTATTGTTATTACTATCTGTTCAAATAAGGAAAATGACAACAACTGCTGAATTCCTTTCCGATAAATTAATCTTCTTCAGAAACTTTAAAAGCGCTAAACCTTTCAAGATTGGTAAAGCGCAGTCCATCAATTCGTATTGTACGCCTTCAAGAGCACTCATCATCGGAGGAATATCAAGCAAAACCAATACAAGAGGCTAAAAAATTATGAAAAACTTAAAAATATACAGAACTGAATCAAGCGATTCATCCAGTTTACCCAACGTCAGTAAGCAAAATTCAGAAAACATACTTTAATAGCTAAAAGCTCAAAAAAGTA